ATCGGGCTCCCTGCTCGGCAGGGAGTCTGCTTCTCCCTCTGACCCTAACCCCTCTCATGTGCTCTCTCTCATTCTCTGTCTTAAATAAATAAATAGAATCTTTAAAAAAAAAAAAAAAACTAATTCAAAAGAGATACGTGCGGGGCGCCTGGGTGGCTCAGTCAGTTAGGTGGTTGCCTTTGGCTCAGGTCATGACCCCAGGGTCCTGGGATCGAGACCCGCATCCGGCTCCTTGCTCGGCAGGGAGCCTGCTTCTCTCTCTGCCTGCCGCTCCCTCTGTTTGTGCTTTCTCTCTTTCTCTGACAAATAAATAAAATGTTAAAAAAAAAGAGAGAGAGAGATACATGCACTCATGTTTACCATAGCATTATTTATAATAGCCAAGATACAGAAGCAACCTAAGTGTCCACTGATTGGTGAATGGATAAAAATGTGGCACGTGTGCATGCACACACACACACACGTATGTATGCATGTATATGAGCTCCTGCCATTTGTGACAACATCGATGGATGTACAGGGTATTATGCTCAGTGATATAAGTCAGACTGAAAAAGACAAATACCACATGATTTCACTCATATGTGGAATCTAAAAAACAAACAAAAAGCAAAATCAGACCTGAAGAGAGAATAAACTGATGGTTGTCAAGAGGGGAGGAGGGTGATGGGGGTTGGGCAAAATGGGAGAAAGAGAGTGGGAGATACAGGCTTCCAGTTATGGAATGAATAAATCATGGGAATAAAAGGTCTAGCACAAGGAATACAGTCAATGATATTATAATAGTGTTGTATGGTGACAGATGGTAGCTACACTTGTGAGCATAATATAATATATAGAGATGTTAAATCACTTATGTTGCATAAGTGAAACTAATATTTTGTCAACTACACTAAAAAAAAAAGACCAAATATTTCAAGCACCAAATGCCTAGCACTGTACTTTAAGAAGGAACTCTAAGTCAAAACAGTCAGATATCTTACAATTATTACTTCTGCAGGTTTATAAACTTCACCATATATACATATCTATGTAACTATATAGGTATTTTTTTTTCCTAAAGAGAGAGCTCGACCGGGGGTTGGGGGTGAGGGGGTGGACAGAGGGAGAGGGAGAGACAGAATCAAGCAGGCTCCATGCCCAGTGCAGAGCCTGACCCAGGGCTTGATCTCATAACCCTGAGATCATAACCTGAGCCAAAATCAAAACTCAGATGCTTAACCGACTGAGCCAGCCAGGTACCCCTAACCTTTAGCATATTATTCAAAGCTTTCAAACTAATTTTGGATGTTAACCAATTGTTGGAAAGTTTTTAGGTCTTCAAATATGCTATTGCTCATCATGTTCAAAGCACCACACTTCTGACAAAAATCAGAAGGCTTTGGTAACAGTATTCAAATAGTTGTCACTTAAAACTATCATCAATCTAATGTTAGTATGTAAAGAAAAGGAGTTTTTTCAAGATAGGGACACTTCCAAAGAGCAAGTGCATTAAAAAAGGAACCCCTAGAATTCAAAATGGCACAGCCACTTTGGAAAACAGCCTGATAGTTCCTCAAAAAGGATAAGCACAGAGTTTTCATATGACCCAGTGATTCCTCTTCTAGGTATATACAAAAGAGAAATGGAAACAAATGCCCACACTGAAAACTTGTACACAGATCTTCATGGCAGCATTATTCATAACAGCCAAAAGTGGAAACAACTCACTATTCATAGCTATCATTTGTAAAAGCCAAAAAGTAGAAACAATCCGATTAACTCATTAAGTGATACATGGATAGTAAAATGCAGTATGTCCACACAATGGCATATTATTTGGTAACAAAAAGAAATGAAGTACTGATACATGCTAAAACGTGAATGAACCTTGAAAACATGCTAAGTGAGAAGATGGACATAAAGGACCACATGTTGCCCTATTTGCATAAAATGTCTAGAACAGGCACATTTATAGTGCTAAGTGGCTTCCTGGGGCTGAGGGGGAATAGAGAAAATGAAAGACAACAGCTAAGGGGAGTGGGGTTTCTTTTTAGAGGAAACATTCTGGAATCATATAGTGATGATAGTTATACATCTCTATGCATATACGAAAAACCACTGAATTGTACATTTAAAAAGGCTATTATTGGTATGTGAAATATATTTCAATAAAGCTTGTACTAGAGGGGCGCCTGGGTGGCTCAGTCGTTAAGCGTCTGCCTTCGGCTCAGGTCATGATCCCAGGGTCCTGGGATCGAGCCCCGCATCGGGCTCCCTGCTCGGCGGGAAGCCTGCTTCTCCCTCTCCCACTCCCTCTGCTTGTGTTCCTGCTCTCGCTGTCTCTCTCTCTGTCAAATAAATAAATAAAATCTTAAAAAAAAGCTTGTATTAGACCCACCACCACCACCACCACCTAAATATAAATGTAAAATGACATGTCTTCAATGAATGTTAACAACAGGCTAAATTAAATACCCAACACAAAGGTCTGAGATTTCCCCTGAAACTCTCTCTTACCTCCTTGTCTTTGCTATACTTATTCTGGTGAAGTTTCTTATACTTGTGCAGCCGCAACATGTTATGAAGTTCTTCTCTGCTGAGGTGGAGTTCTTCCTCTTCTTCTTCTTCTTCTTCATTGTCTTCACTCTGAGAATCTGCCTCACTGGACTCATCACTTAGCAGAATGCTCTGCAAACAGGAGGAAATGGGAATGGAATCTGTTGCTATGGAGCAAGTCCTTCTCTAACCCAAGCATCTTTTCCCAACACAATGACAAAAACAGCTGGAAGACAGTAACTCCAGTTTCCCAATTCATGTGGAAAAGAAAAGGATACCAACTGAACCTAGTGGCATGAATTCAAGAGCACTAACATACGGAAATGCTATAAAGGCAACAAAGCTAGATTTCACTAAGTACTTAGAACTATACGTAGGCTATTTTAACTGTCAAATATCAAGGCAAAAAACTAAAAACAAAAACAAAACCACAACCTATAGGGTATAAAGGAATATACAGAGCCGGCCGTGATAGCTAATAAAGGAGAAACAACCCAAAAAATCATTAGATTTGTTATTATCCAGATAATGAAATATTATTTAGCCATAAAAAGGAATGGAGTACTGATACATGCCACAACATGAATGAACCTTGAAAACTATGCTAAGTGAAAGAAGCCAGGCACAAAAGGCCACATATTATATGATTCCATTTATATGAAAAGTCCAGAATAGGCAAATCCGTAGGGAAAGAAAATAGATTAGTGGCTGCCAGGGGCGACGGGAAGTGACTGCTTAATAATCACAGAGTTTGATTTTGGAGTGATAAAAATGTTCTAGAATTAGTGGTGACGGCTGCACAGAACTTTACTACAATACACACTTTACAAGGGTAGATTTTATGGCATGTGAATTGTATCTCAATTTTTAAGAACGTGATGGCTAAACAAAGATTTCTGCATTGCCAACAGCTTAAAAGCCTTTTATACACAAACCTTTTAAAGGACCTCATGATTATAATGAAAGAATGCCTTTATATTACTTTGAGCTCTTCACAAGAAAAGAAAGCAATAGAGAAATAATTAGTTTCAACAGAAGAAATGCTACCCTTAACTCAGTTGGGCCAATGAAAGTAATCTTGTAAGAGTGTAAAGAGTCTACCATTTCCCTGCCTATAAACACTCACAGAAAATACAGAAACACTCTATATTGCCTATAAACACTCACAGAAATTTACCAGAGTAAAATACAAATTCTTTAACATGGGGTACAAGGCCCTACACACAAGCAGGCTCTCTAACCTCATCTTCTACCATATCCTCTCTTTCATTGTACTCCAGAAATACTAGCCTTCTTTTCCTCCAAACATACTGAGTTGCTTCCTTTCTCAGGAATTTTATAGTTATGTTCCTTCTGATTGAAATGCTCTTATCTTAAACATTCCCATAGTTCTGATCATTCAGAAATCAGCTGAAATGTTACCTCTTTAAAGAAGCCATTTTTGTTTCTTTGTTTGTTTACAGACTTACTCACTGCCTCCCCCCATTTGAATGTAAGCTCTACAGTGCAGGAACCCTGTCTGTCTACAGTAGTATCTGGCAGATAGGACGTACTCAATCAACTTCCCAACAACTCAAGTACTAATGAAAATGACATTAATAATCCTGATTATAATGTGAGGCAGGGAGGGCAAGGATCTTATCTATTTTTTTACTCCTTTGCTCTGCGCAGTGCTTTATACTCAAAAATGTTTGCTAAAATGAATTTCACTGACGCCTCTAGATTTTCCTCTATAATCTCTTCAAAAAAAAAAAAAAAATCACACCCACAGTATAAAACTCATGTCTAGAAAAATCTCTGCTAATGTGTCTGAATGAGTCAATAACTTTCCCTTCCATTTGTAATTTTAGTAGGTTATTTGAATTATAAACATTTGCCTTATCTCTTACCTTTAGCCACTTCCTGCTTTTCTTCAATTTAGAGAAGTTATATAAATTCCCTTTGTCAGATTTTGATTCTGTGTAAAGAAACATAAAGAACAACAAAAATGAAAGGAAGACTGCCCCAAGAGAACTGATAGTCCAAAGAGGGATCTCACACCACACTGACCTGACTGTAGAACTCCATTCAGCGAGTATGTGTTTAACATTCCAGAGTTGCCTGCTCCAGAAGTTTCTCCAAGCAATGAATTTGGAGGTTCTTCCTTAACTTGTATTAAGGGATCCCCAGACTGGGGCAATAAAGGATTACTGTCATCCAGTCCATCTTCACTCTCATCACTATAAATTGAAAAATAAATCTATAATCACAGCTGACCCAGCAAAATACTTTAATTTATGGTCAGCAGACAGAAGAAATTGATCCTTTAAATAGACTCTTCTATTGAAAGAAGGAAGAAAAAACTACCAAATATACCAAAAATTGTAAAATACCTTAACCCTAAAACCAAAGACAATGGGAATCAGAAAGTGGTCAAACATTATATTGGGGGGGTGCCTGGGTGGCTCAGTTGTTAAGTGTCTGCTTTCGGCTCAGGTCATGATCCCAGGGTCCTGGGATTGGGCCCCGCATCGGGCTCCCTGCTCAGTGGGAAGCCTGCTTCTCCCTCTCCCACTCCCCCCGCTTGTGTTCCCTCTCTCGCTATGTCTCTCTCTGTCAAATAAATAAATAAAAAATCTTTTAAAAAAACCCAAAAAATACTATATCGGGAATATGTAATCGCATACCTAGAAATATTCCTGTTGAAGATGGCTGATGTTTGTCGCAAGAAATGGTCCAACCGGAGGGCCCTCTCCAAGTATTGAAGATAGAGGGGCTTTGCCAGCTCAGTGCAGCTGCCATCGTCCCCGGCTCCCAACTCCGAGGCCATAGAACAAATCTGTCTTCATGCACAAGGGTCTCCGACTTCTCGGCTGCAGAATGGAGATTAAGCAGTGAAAGACAGAATACTATTTATTCTCCCTTTATTTTGCCCCCTTGCTATCAATGTGAAGAGAAATCAGACCTTCTAGAACACAAGACAAGAAGACAGCAGTCTATAGAAAGATCACAATAAAGTTCTTGTTAGGCATTTTTTCCTAATGCAAAGGCAGAAGTTTAAAAGAATGAGGAGAACATCAAAATACAGAAATACTGTCATATGTCACAACAAAAATTCATATTATATTTTTGAAAGAGTACCTTAAAATTTACACCCACTTACCTTTTGTCCTACAATTAACAATTACTCACAATTATCTAAATCTATACCACAAGCTCCTTTGTACACCTCATAGAGGAACACTTGTTGTCAGCATCACCTTCAAAACAGCTGCTTCCTTCTTCATTTTGTGTTTACATTTGTACATATTTATGAGATATTCCACTTACAAGGGAAGAGAGCTATTGTCAGAGTATTTTACACACTTGTAAACCTTCTTTCAAGTGTAAGATATAAGAAATTTAGAAAACTGGAGCAAAGAGAGTATAAGTAAGAGAAACAAAGGTACATAGCCTGAGCATTTTCTTTGCTACCTTATGGTGTTAAAGGAAATCATAACACCTTTAAGTTGTCTTCTCTTTTTATTATAGTTTTTAAAAGTTTCCTATATAATCTTTCTTCTTAAGGACATGTTAAAAAATTCTCCTCCAATAGATCTACAGAGTGAACATAATCTCCCCAGAAGGCTTCTTTTCTTTTTCAGAAACTGACAAGCTAATTCTTAAATTTATATGGAAATGCAAAGAAACCAAAATAGCCAAAATAATTTTGAAAATGAAAAAAGTTCAGGGTGCCAGGGTGGCTCAGTCGGTTAAGTATCTGCCTTCAGCTCAGGTCATAATCCCAGGGTCCTGGGATCAAGCCTCGAGCCAGGCTCCCTGCTCAGCGGGGAGCATGCTTCTCCCTCTCCCTTTGACCCCCACTCATGCTCTCTCTCTCAAATAAATAAATCTTTTAAAAAAATAGAAGAGGGTTGAATAACTTACACTTCCTGATTTTATTTATTTTTTTTAAAGATTTTATTTATTTATTTGATAGAGAGAGACACAGCGAGAGAGGGAACACAAGCAGGGGGAGTGGGAGAGGGAGAAGCAGGCTTCCCACTGAGCAGGGAGCCCAATGTGGGGCTCCTTCTCAGGACCCTGGGATCATGACCTGAGCCAAAGGGAGACACTTAACGACTAAGCCATCCAGGTGCCCCCACTTCCTGATTTTAAAACATATTATAAAGCCACAGTAATCAGGTCAATGTGATAGTGGCATAAGGATAATCACAGACCAAGAGAACAGACCTGAAAATCCAGAAATAAACCCTTACAGGTGTGCCTGGCTGGCTCAGTTGGTAGAGCATGCAACTCTTGATCTCAGGGTCTTGAGTTCAAGTCCCACACTGGGCACAGAGCTGCCTTTAAAAAAAGAAAGAAAATAAACAGTTGGGGTTTAAAAAAAAAACAAAAAAACAGGGGTTCCTGGGTGGCTCAGTTGGTTAAACATCTGACACCTGATTTCGGCTCAGGTCATGATCTCAAGTCATCAGGTCAAGCCCCACGTCAGACTCTGTGTTCAGCGCGGTCTGCTTGAGATTCTCTCTTTCCCTCTCTCCCTCTGCCCCCACCTCACCCCAGTTCGTGCTTGCACACTCTCACCCTAAAACAAATAAATCTTCAAAAATAAACAAAATATTTAAAAAATAAAAGGAAAAAAACCCTTACACGTATGGTCAATTTTCAATGAAGGTGCCAAGGCAATTCAATGGGAGAAAAGACAGTCTTTTCAACAAACTATGCTGGACAACTGGATATCCACATACAAAAAGATTAATTTAAACCTTTAAAAAAAACCTTACCTCACACTAGGCATAAAAATTAACTCAAAATGGATCAGGGACTTAAGTGTAAAACCCCAAACTGTAAAACTTCTACAAGAAAACACAGGGGAAAATCTTCATGATCTTGGTTAAGCAAAAAGTCTTTGGATATGACATCAAAAGCACAATCCATTAAAAAAAACAACAACACACACACACACAACTGACAAATTAGGTCATGAAAATTTTAAACTTTTGTACTTTAAGCAATATTATTAAAAAGATGAATACAAGCCACAGACTAGAAGAAAATATCAGCAAGTTGTGTATCTGGATAAAGGACTTGTATACAAATATCTAAAAAAATTAAAAAATCCTGGAGATGAAAAGTATAACATAGAGAATATAGTCAATAATATAACAACAGTAACAGAAGGTGACTATGCTGAGTGGTGAGCATTGAGTAATGTATAGAACTGTCAAATCACTATGTTGTGTACACCTGAAACTAATATTACATTGTATATCAACTATACTTTAATTAATATTAAAAAACTAATAATAGGGGTGGCCTGGGTGGCTCAGTCGGTTAAGTGTCTGCTTTCAGTTCAAGTCATGATCTCAGGGTCCTGGGATTGAGCCCTGCATCGGGCTCCCTGCTCAACAGTGAGTCTGCTTCTCCCTCTCCCTCTGTGCCTCCTCCCCATCCCCGCTTATGCGCTCTCTCAAATAAATAAAATCTTTCATAATAATAATAAAATAATACCCAACTTTTCTATCTATCCTCTAAAAAAGACCTGCCTCCTCTACTTCAGAGAATCTTTTAGGGATAAAATGAAGTATATGTGAAAGGGCTTTATAAGAAATGCCAGAGTATTTTCAAACAGTGTATGCTCACATATTCAGAGTTGGGAGGGGTCACAGAGCTTACCTAATCCAACTGGGTCATATTACAGATGAAGAAACTAAAAACCAGGGAGCCTGGGTGGCTCAGTTGGTTAAGCGACTGCCTCTGGCTCAGCTCATGATCCTGAAGTCCCAGGATTGAGTCTGCATGGGGCTCCCTGCTCAGCAGGGAGTCAGCTTCTGTCTGACCCTCCCCTCTCTCATGCTCTCTCTCTCAAATAAATAAAATCTTTAAAATAATATTAAAAAAAAAAAAAGAAACTAAAAACCAGAAAGATTAAATAACTTGTTCATATTCATGAGCTCTTTTGCAGAGCCAGGTTTCCTAGTTCCTAAACCGGTCCTTTTTCAATCTCAGCAAACTGTCTCCCTAGACAGGATCTACCTCTTAAATTCTTGAGTTTATGCTTTGATGTTGTGAAGAACACAATCCCAAGAGCCAAAATTTTTTTTTTTTAAGATTTTATTCATTTATTTGACAGAGAGACACAGCGAGAGAGGGAACACAAGCAGGGGGAGTGGGAAAGAGAGAAGCAGGCTTCCCGCCGAGCAGGGAGCCCGATGCAGGGCTCGATCCCAGGACCCTGGGACCATGACCTGAGCTGAAGGCAGACGCTTAACGACTGAGCCACCCAGGCAATCAAGAGCCAAATATTTATAAAGCACCAATTCTGCAGAGTAAAGATCACTTAGAATTTTTTTTGCATTCTTTGAAATATCTGTCGAGAAACCATTCTTGCTAAGTGAGGTGCAGGGTTTTATAAAAGCATCAACAACTAGGATCTACGTTAAGCCAAACAGATTAGTCCTTAGTTCAAAGTCAATAAATGGCCAATATAAGCTGTCAATAATCACTATTTTTTAACTGACTTCATTACAAAGACACCTCAACAGATTAATAGTGGCATAGTCCTGCCTAAAATTCAATTCAATATTGATATAAAAATTTAGTCCTGGAATTATTGAAGAGGATACTGGCATAATTTTTAGATTCAATAGGCAACATATTTGTTTATAGTGTTACATGTTAGGAGAAAAACCTTTTGGGGACACCTGGGTGGCTCAGTTGGTTAAGTAGCTGACTCTACATTTTGGCTTGGGTGATATCTCAGGTCCTGGGGACTGAGCCACAAGTCAGGCTCCCTGCTCAGCGAGAAGCCTGCTTCTTCCTCTCCCACTCCCCTGCTTGTGTACCCTCTCTCGCTGTCTCTCTCTCTCTGTCAAATAAAAAAAATCTTAAAAAAAAAAAAAAAAGAGCAAAACAATCCAAACGTTTATCAGCTGGTGAATGGATAAACAAAAATGTATATCCACACAACAGAATATTATTAGCAATAAAAAGCAAAAAACAGTTGATACGTGCAACATGAATGGATCTCAAAAACATGCTAAGTTTAAAAAAAAAAAAAAAAGCCAGACACAAAAACCCACATATTGTATGATTCCATTTATATCAAATATCCAGAAAAGGAAATCTATAGTCAGGAAGTAGATCAGTGGTTGGCTGGGTGTACAAAGGGGGACTGACTGTAAGTGGATAGGAGGTATCTTTTTTAGGGAAGCTGGAAATGTTCTAAACACACACTGTATTGATGGTTGTACAATTCTGTAAGTTTGTTAAAAATCACTGAATTGTACATATGAGTGAGGTAAATTTCATGAATTTAAAACAGCAGTCTTTAGTAACACAGTTAAAGAGAAAAGAATGTTAAAGATTTTTTAAGACTTCAATAGGTTCTACTTTTTAGTATGAGACCTAACATGCACTCATTCCAAAAGATTTCAAAGAAACACAGTTTTAAAAACACAGGAAAATTCTCTAAGAGAATACATTTAATTCATCTGGATATACATACATATAAAATAAAGCATATAAAATTGCTGCTTGGCTCTCTCCTAAATGTTTCATTAAAAAATAATTGATCTCATGTGCTTATTTTGGCTGATAATGAAAATGGTCCTAATTAAGAAGGTATGAAGATATGACTACAAAGTAATACTGGGTGATTCAAAAAGAACTATTTTTAAAAAATAATTCCTCAGGGGCGCCTGGGTGGCTCAGTCGTTGGGCGTCTGCCTTCGGCTCAGGTCATGATCCCAGAGTCCTGGGATGGAGCCCCACGTCGGGCTCCCTGCTCTGCAGGAAGCCTGCTTCTCCTTCTCCCACTCCCCCTGCTTGTGTTTCCTCTCTAGCTGTGTCTCTCTCTGTCAAATAAATA